CAAACAAATAACCATAATATTTACTATATATTTAGGATATTCAAATAACAATATTTCATAATTACTTTTTGTTTGTGAGATTCTAACAATTGCTCTTAACTTACAATAGCAAGCCCTAACTAGCATTTTGTCCTTTATATTATAATAATGATAATCTTGGAGATGAACTCATAAAAAGACTTCTATTACTATTAATAGTCATTCAAAATGTATCAACACAACAAATAGAAAAAACATAGACATGAAACTTCAATAGTGGAAGGAAGCTAACTAGAGGTGCAAACAAAAATAGTAATAGCAAAAAAAGTTAAACATTTACATAATTAAGACAACTTTTTCAACATGTGAAACAATTCATTTTTTTTTTGTCACACATGTCACTTCTTTATTATATTACTATTTATGGAAGTCAAAGATTAACATAATACTTTTAAAATTTTAAGAATTAAAATAATCAATTCATATCATCTCAAGAGTCAAAATCAGAGTTTAGCTTGTTTTAATATATGTGATTTATAATTTTGACAAAAATATTTTTACTTCAAAATTATTCTCATATGACTAACAATTGACATAGAATACAGGTAAATTTTGCTCATCTTCGTGACTATGTTTTGATCTATTATTGTACTCTTGAAAGAAAAAAGTTTTAATTTTATTATAAGTTAAATTTGAGAGCATTACTTTATTTTAGATAAATATAGAAAAATAATTTGTGGTGTTCTCAGTTAAAGAAACTATTTTAATACATTTCACTAGATAAAGATAAAGAAAGATTTTTGTGATGCCTTTAAAGAAGGAAATCATTGTATACTTTGTTTTTTATTAAGGTAGAGGAAAGTGAATAAAATTATAAGCAGTTATTTGGAACTAATTATAAGTCACATGTAGTAACCGAACTAAGATAAATTGACGGTGCTCAACTCATGTCTTAATTCCTATATTCTCGAACTTTATTGCGTTTATATCATCGTTATTTTAACTGTGTTAATTCTATAATTTTCTTTGAATTGAACTCAAAGAACATTGCCTCCTTCGCAGTTCTTTCAGCTTCTTTTCTTTCATCACATCCCATATTTAAACAAAATGAAATTTTGGTTCCAAAGCACCAAGTTTTCATGAAACAACTCAAAAAACATATATTAAAAATTACTTGAATGACTAAGGAAACAGATGGTTGTGCGAAGTATAGAGGTGAATGATTGACGGACACGTCTAGAACAATAATTGGAGGAATATCCAGTTGGGATCAGGGCTAGAACGCGGAGAAAATCCAACAAAACTACAGCATTTTGTGGTCCCTCTATGCTTCTTCTATGCTTATCTCTGGACCTTGTTTTTGGTTCTTTGTAATGTTGCCCAGTCCAGAAATACTACCCATTCCTCATTGGGACTTTTCTCCCTGTTCTACCCTTCTTGGTGCTTCCTAACTTTTCATTCTCTCGCTTTCTTGACAATTCAATGCATATACTACACTTATATTTTATATATTTTTTTATATTGTGAACCTCAGGAATTTTCCTTTTCTTTCCTCTCGTCAATTTTTATAATAAACTTTTCTCCTTTTATACAAAGATTATATCTTGTTTTGTTCACTTATACATGCATGCGCCAATCTTTTTTGAAGAATTATTAATAAGAACACTCTCGAGCTTCACTATATTCACAAATTCAATGCAATTCAGAATCATGTGTAGAAAGAAAAAGTTTTAAAAGGACTTGAACTATGAGAATGGAAACCAAGCCAATTAACCAAGCACTACGCCAAATTTGCTGGTCCATTTTCATTCTATTCAATTTGTATATACCCATTGGCTTGTCCTAAGGGATATGACCACATGGGTAAAAGAGAGGAAAAGCTGAATTAATAGGGCCACCGTATGAAGTCTAACATGGTTTTGATTGACTAGCTACAACTAACCATAACGACAGTAATAATGCTATAGGTACTGCTTTTTAAATGAAGGGTGCGTCTTAAAAGAGTTCTGTTGTTTCAATTATTCAAAATTAATGTTGCATGTATAATATATTATTATTTTATTTTTTTACTTATTATATAGATATATATATATATATATATCCTAAAAAATGCTTAAAATATAAAAATAGTTAAAAATAATAACCTTTAACAATGCATTAAACATTTTTTGTCCTAAAAAGGTTACAGAGGACCACAAAGGTAACAAACACAGTAAGGTCACCCTGCCCTGCCTTGTGTCCTCAACACGCACCCCGCTGATTAGTACGATAAGCCCCGATTGCCCGTTTTGGCAACGTCAACGTGGCTTATCATACGCCATCTCTTTAATTAATGCGGTAAAAAGGGAGAGTGTGGATATAGAATTTATCGTTTCAACTTATCAAGTAATAGTTGTGTGTGTGTGTGTGTGCGCGCATATATACATAATCTAGATAAGTTGAGTTTTAAAGATTCAAAAAATAGTTATAAAAATACTTATAAATCAGCTGTCAACAAAGTTGTTATATTAATGATACAAACTTGTATATATAAAAATGCAAATTCAATTTTTATCCATTAAATCAATAGCTCTGGTAAAGTAGTATGGTATAATTACGTAAAATGAATATAAATATAATTATTGTTAATTATATAAGTGGATAGAGTGTTTGGATGGGTCACGTGCATGCAGTGTATTTGAATATTTACATGAATGGAGAGGGTACAAAGAAAGAAAGGGGAGTGACAGAAGTAGGACCCGAACCGGCTTGTCAGTGATATGGCACCAACGGAAATGGTAATTGATCGTCCACTCGCCACACGCATTGTGGAAAAGGAGACTATCGCACTTTTCTTTTTCTCGTTTATTATTATTATAATAAAAAATTATTCATGATAGAAGAAAAAAAATTATTTGTTTGTATTTTTTAAATGTTTTTAAAAAAATTAAAAATATATATTTTTAATTTTTTTTAAAATATAAACAAACATACTTTAATTCTTTATATTCTTGTCTTCTAAGAATATATATATATAAACTCGTAAGATAATTTTATTATTTTATAACTTTTTTATTAAGTAAAACATTCATATTTTTTTAGACGATAAAAGTGTAAATTATTTAAAAGAATATATGTTATTATAATATTAAAGTTATAATTAAAAAATAATAAAGTTTTATATTCATAATAAATTTTTATCTATTTTATGCTTTTTTTATGAAGACAATCCCTTTTAAGAAAGTCGACTTCTTCATTTGAAGATTTTTTTATCTTATTTTTCTTTGATATTACAAGTTAAAATTAAGGAATAAATAAAGGTTTTATTTTATTTTATACTTCTTCCTTTTAGCTATAAAAATGTAGCACTTAAAAAGAATTTCTTGATAAAATATAAAAAATATATTTGATTTATTTTTTAAAAACAAAATATATTACAAGTTAATTGACGAATATGTATGATTCTAAAAACTACTTTTAAGATTTTTTTTTTCAAAATCAAGTGCAGAAAGCAAGACTCTTAATGACCTTTTATATATATATAAAATCTGGATTCAAAGAATTCAAACCTTGTAAAGATAGATCATTCATTGATTATTATTATTATTATTATTATTATTATTATTAATATTATGCTACCAAGTGTGCTGGAATGGGAGTTTGATTAAAGAAAAATATATTTATTATATAAAATAGTTAACACAGTCTTTAGGCACTAAGTATTGGGGCTTCAAGTAGTTAAAAGTAGGATGAATCTTACCAAAGTTGATAATTAAGAAAACTCAGATAGCTCTGAATCTTTGTGTCATCCATGGTAATTATCTTCACACTCATCACAACTTTGCTTCAGTTTAATATACAAAGCCATATTAAAGTCAAGTTAGGTCCTCGTCATCCTACGTTAACTTACTGGGTTAAAAATAGATGTGCAGTTCATTTTGCAAATTTAGGTCATGAGTATTAAATACATTCTATTTTTATAAATAATTCTTTTATTTTTACGCTTACTTTTTATTTGCATTTATTTTTCATCAATACCATTAATTTACGTGTCCAGGTCTTAATTCATCAAATCAATGAAACATAATCATATTTGGTTTGAGCACTGGTTCAATGATGCCTTTGATCCATTACTCATATCAACCCAAGCACCTTTGATATTTTTTAAATGCTCAACATGATATCATTTTGACTAAAAGGAATTGTTATTGGAACCAATTAACCTAAATTTCCTTTCTGGTTTTTTTTTTTCACTTAATTTTCTAAACCCTAAACCGAGTAGGATTGAATAAATTATGTAAATATAATATCTCATGTCTGTTTATGAAAAATTGCATTAATTTAATTGATGTATTTTATAAAAAAATAAATTATTCTAAATTATGTTTATTTTATGAATAATCATATAATTTTAATTAATGTTTTGTTATCAATTGTTGATTCTTTTTTAATTTGTATCTTCCATAAATAATTATATCATTTCTATTTATGCTTATTGTGTTCTATAAATAATCACACGATTTTACTTAAATTCTTATTCATGTAAGAGCACATTTTTCAATTCACATATGTATAACTAATTTGTATAAAAATATTACAATTATTGAATCAAACCTGAACAACTTTTTGGTTAAAAGGCAATAAAGCATTTTTTAAATTAAATAAATCAATACAACTCTTTAATTTGAATAAAACAAGGCAAAGTTTTAGATTTTAGAAATGTCTCACAAAACTAACTAACAATAGTATTAAAAATGACCTAAAGAAAAAATATATTTGTATTAAAATAAAAGGTATAGTAACATTTATCTTTTCAAAAGATGAAAACTTCAAAGAAAACGATGAGCAAATAATTTAACATAATTCTTAGAGAAGAAAGTGCAATTTACTTTGACATCTTTTCTTAATCTTATTTCATTTCGTGTCCATTTATATCCTTTTCTTGTATTCCTTTTCTCTCTATCATCTCTCTCTCTCTCTACTTAATCCATCTATAGCTACTGCCAACTTGCCAAAAGGACATGTATAATGAATGTATTTTCCCTTTCCCACATTACATAAATACTTCTTTTGGTGAAAGTGCCTTAACTCTGAATTGCTTCTGGGCTGCTTTCCTCAAACTTTCATGCACAAGGGGAAGCTTCTCATTTCACTCCTAACTTTATCTGCTTTTCTACTTCATTTTCTGGCACCCTTTGTTTTATAGGTTTTCTTCTCACTCTACTTATGTGTGTTAACTGACAAATTTTAGTTCACTTTTCTTACCTTTCTGTTCCATCTCCATGTGCATCACTTTTTCCCTCCCATGATTGAATCATTACTAATTTCCTCACTTTCCAGGAACTGAAAAAAATGGGAGAAAGTGCTTTGCTCTCTGTGTAGAGTTTGGCAGAGAAAGATAACATTTTTGAGTCCTTTATAATGCCAGTTCCACTTGCTCCCTACCCAACACCACCAGCTCCATATACACCACCAGCAGCAAATGGTATCTTGCTTTGTCTGTGCTTCATTTGCTCCTTGATGTCTCTTCTCTATTTGTTCTTCTAGAATTCTCATCTTCATCTCATTGCTTTATGGTGATTGACGGATTGGAGATTTGAATTATTATTTGTCTTCCATCATCTGGACAAAAATCTGATGTCTAATTTTAATACTGATGGGGTGGTGAAAAAGTGTGAGGAACATAAAAGCTTCTGGCCATAAAACTGAGATAATACAAGTTACCAAGTGGAGAGAGAAAAACAGAATTCCAGTTTCCAATTGGCTGAAGGTAGAAATGGTGGATAGGGTGTGAAGATTTTCCACTGAAATTCCTCTGGGCTCTGATTTGTGTGGAATGTGTGGATTTGAGATAACTAGTGATGTACCTTTTCTTTAATATAGTCCAATTTCTCACCTGATTTGGCTTACCATTTGAAAATCGAAATTGAACCTGTCTTCAAGATAGATTGAATGATTGAACCGTTATCATGTGGTAATTTATTTGATATATTATTTCAAAATGTTACTTGATTGGCAGGTGCACAGAGTCAACTTGTCTGTTCTGGGTGTAGAAACCTTCTAGTGTATCCAGTTGGAGCCACCTCTGTGTGCTGTGCTGTTTGCAATGCAGTCACAGCAGTGCCACCTCCTGGTATGGTGCAGTTTCTCTTCACTGGGTCTATAGGTTATTTGAAAGTTCAAATTTCCACTATTTTTTAATTAATTGATCATGAGGCTGCTAAATCACGAGCACTTGTGTTGTGTGTGACAGGCACAGAAATGGCCCAGTTAGTTTGTGGAGGTTGCCATACTTTACTCATGTACATCCGTGGAGCAACAAGTGTGCAATGTTCTTGTTGTCACACAGTCAATCTAGCTTTGGAAGGTATTGAAATTATTAATTAATGGCTTCATGAGCTTTAAAAAAGTTGTGTTTGCGCATGCATGATGGACAGATTTTAAGACGTTTCTTTTGAGAGCTAAATCATTATGGTTGAAGTCCCTATTTTTGTTGGTTAAGCATCAAATGTGTGTTGTGGCAGCAAATCAGGTGGCACATGTCAATTGTGGGAACTGCAGGATGCTACTCATGTACCAATATGGAGCAAGATCCGTGAAATGTGCAGTTTGCAATTTTGTAACATCGGTTGGGGTCAGTGTAATCTCTTGTTCGTTAGTAAATTTCTTTAAACTGTCTTGAGTTCAACCTTATTGTCAAGGATCCCATCAGGTTTGGAAGAGTAGAGATATACAATTTAACTTTTAATTGGTTGCAAATAAGACCAAGTTTTCGTATTTAATACTACCCCTAATGTGCAAAGAGAAGAAATTATACAAACCAAGGAATCTAATCATTTTGTTAGAATTATTTAGTAGACTTCTTGATTTACCCTTAATTTATTGTAGTATTATATTATATCTCTCTTTAACCTTTGAACTACTCAAATAATGTAAATATTTTGTTTTTTATACTTTCAATATTTATACGAGCAAAAGGGTATTAATGAAAAAGTAACAGTTAATATTGTCTTGAACATTTACATGAAGATAAATAGAAACAAATTTCTTCTCTCTCTAGACAGATAAATGAGAACTGGGGTAGTAAATAGAAGGAATGAAAATCAAGAGTATTTGTACAGTTTTAGAAGTGCTTTTATATGGGTGAGCACAAATCATAACTACAGAAATTTTCTTTTAAGCAAGGATTTACTCTGGTGTTACTAAATTATGCAGGCCTCAGCAAGCACCACTGAGCAGAAGTTCAGCACCTAAAACATAATATAGCAAGGTCATTACAGACTCTACAACCTTGGTTTTCTAGTTACATATCCCCCCTAAGGAATAAGGAGTGCATATCAGATTGGAGAGGAAACTCTTTTCACATGTATAGAGTTATTTTTCCCTTGCGTGATTGTATTAAATTAAATATTTTTGTTATAGATTGGGTGTATGAATAACTTTTGATGTTAAGTTTTCTGATTCTGAGTGTTTTGAAAACTCACATCTTTAGATTGGGTGTAAAGGTAAAGTTTATTTTCAACTGTACATAATTTGTATATTAGAAATTATACATGCACAAAAAGAAGTAATTGAAGTAACCCTCACAATCAGAAAATAAGTGGTTGAGAAAGTTTTGGAGTTTAAAGCAATAGATGAGAAAACCTCAACTACTCATTTACTTTCGTGTCTTTCTTCTATATACACACATATATATATGGAGGACCGAACACCATTAATGTCTTTCAGATACTTTCTGCCTTTTTGAATGAGAAAAGGTCCAAGTACGGCCACAAAAGGTAAGCAGACACTGGAAACACTAGATGGATTGATTCAATAAGATAACATCTGGGTCCAAAATTTCAAAATAGATATTTCAGGGTGAAATTGAGGTGAGGATTTTTCAGCAAGGGCAGCATTTTTCTATGGTTTCCCATCGCTGATTTTGACATGCAAGATTCACGGGTACTTTACTTAGATAAACGTTGTTAATCAGTACTCAGATATACATTGGAGACTTTATCAAAATCTGAATATCATCCTTTTTGGGTTTGACTAATAGGTGACAACATTGAATATTTTATGGACACTTTTCATTTATCCTTGTGGTTAGAAATTGAGGCAGTATGCACAGATTTTCATTGAAAACAGAAATTTTTTTTTAAGTTTTGATGTGTGGCAGTACATACCATGTTACAGTTGAAGAATGCAGACAGGACTGAGGCAACACCAACATCATTTGTGAATCCCACATAACTAACACTTTTGGTAGTTTAACACAATTAATGTCCTTTTCAACCTCTACTGTGCCCAAGTTGTGGCTTGCACTTGAAGCACTAGGAGGTTACTAAAATCATAGTGAGTGAATGATGTAGACATCTCTCTCACATTTTGAATCCTGGCCCTTTGATGTTACTCAATGTTCCCCAACAGTCTTGTTTATGTCATTCATACATATGAGCACTCCAGGGCATATTTTGGTTCCAATCATTTTATAAATGTCACGTTCATTTGAAAATTACTCTTTTGTGAGAGTACAAGGCCAGTGTCATTTGAAGTTTAAGATATTTGGCTGTAACTGTCCCTCCAACTTAGAATCTTTAGTGTGTTTGGTTCAATTTATTTTAGAGAAATAATTTATTGTATGTTAGTTTCATGGTTAGAAAAATAGTGATTATTTTCTAAAATTAATATGTTCCAGAACAAGCAGTTTTATTTTTTCCATAGCTTGCTGTTAATAGATTAAGAGCAAGCAATAATATCACAATAAGTGGCTGTGGGTGCTGGGTGTAAAGCATCACGTTATGAATTTAATACGAGAGATTGCTTGTCTTCGTCATTTTGGAGTTGCAAGGATAATATTGTTTATCCATTGAAAGTTTCTCATTTAGCACTTTTCACCCTTGTCTATTTCTTTTGTTCTCTATCAACTGTACACATTCTTGTGTATAAATTATAAGTTTATATTATCTTTAACCAGAAGTTTCAAGATTGAGTGTTAGAAAATGCAATTATATTAAAGGTTTTAAGGAAGGGCTTTATTTTACAATTTATAATGCTTTTATTCAACTTGACCTCCAATGTTACATTGGGTAGAGGGAACAATTAATAGTGGCGAAAAAGCAATATCATAGTCGAGTAAAACGCCTCCAATCTTGATAGTAAAGATTAGTTTCTTCATAACATTGCTTCACCAATACCAACTTGTTTGAGTAGGAACAAAGTCATTTCCTTTACCAAATAGACATCAATATGTCAATTTTGCATGCATGATAACCCTTCTTCACATACAAAGCTTGTGGGACCGTTGGGTCTACCGTTGTACACTTCACCACCTTGTTCCCGAGTGACTCTTAATCGAGCAATGGACCACAATGGTATATTCTTTTGATCCTACATTATCTCATCAGCATTATGCAACCAGGTTAATTGTTTGCATCTTCAGCTGGACCAAAGCAAATAATGATATTTCTATCATGGAGCCCAACTGAATCAATTAAAGATTGCCATTCCAATATTCTTTATTCGTGGGTTTATGTCTATTCCAAAATGACAAAAACCAAGGTATACGTTATCCCGATGCTGCATTATTTCATCTATGTTATTTCTTCTTCAGCTGGTCCATGACCATAGCACATACTTCTTATCATGGAGCCCAATTGAATCAAAAGAAAGATTGTCAGTCCAATCTTTTTTATGTTTCTATCGCTATTTTAAAATGACAAAACAATAAGTAAAATATTGTTCAAAAATTGGATTTTGTTATATTTACAAAAAAAAATAAAAATTATTTACACAAGTTCAAAGGACTGATTATAAAGTAATTAAAAGTATTTTTTAAAATATATTTATTACATATAAATAATAAACACTTTCATTTTTAGTTACTTTTATTATACTTCACAAGTAATCATTGTTTGAAGAAAAAAAAAGATTTAAAAAGTAAAGAAGCATTTAACAAAACTCAGCAAATACGTTTCTAATTTAACTTTTCTTAATGCATGTTAAGTTTATCATTCGAAAAATAATTCTCTCAATTTCTTATAAAATAGTTATACGTATAAATAGATCTATTTTGTCGTATATATCCCAATTTCATTCAAGTTCAAACCTTTTTTTTATTAAATTAATTTTACTCTACTTTAAAATAAATGAATTATTAGTCCTTTCTTGAAAACAAATCTGTACCATTCAGTATTTTGTATTTTTCTTGTATTTTCGAAGAGGATATTATCATATTAATTTGGATTAGCAACGTTGATAGCTACTAAATTATTGTTAAAGGAATCTTAATGCATTATTCAAGACTTGATAATGCAAACATACAATTAACCTCAAAATTTCAAAAGAAATTTCGCTTGGGTTACGGTCCTATTTTTGTAGTGATCCTTTTAGACCTATCGCTTTTTTTCTAACGACAAAATTGAGGCTCTTCAAGCAGCATCACCGCCAACCACCACCCTTTAACGTAAATTCAGTTCAGTTTCAATTTTTCGTACAAAAGTTAAGCTTAAAAGTAGATGTATTCGTGCTAATGCTGCACATCATGAGAATAAAGATCTACAGCACAGTGGGAGATTAAGTGTGGAATTTGATTAGCTGAAAAAAAAAGTTTACAATTATCAATTATATTTATAATTGATTGTACTTCATATCATAGTGATTATTTTTAATTAATAATAATAAATCTATACTTTACCTTCTAAAATGTGCCTCACACTTCAGAAGAGTCGAAGTCAGAAAACAAGGGTTTTAGGAATTTTAGAATAATCAACTTATAATTTGCAAATAATAGCAACTTTTTCAAGTTCAAGCCCTGGAATAAAATTAAGGTAACTATCCATTCCTTTTAAAATAAGGGAAATTTGAAAAAGTTTATTTGGATCTATCAAAGTGACTTGTAGCCTTTTATAATTTATTATCAATTTTTATTTTAATAAACGTTATAGATAAATTTATTATTTTTTTAAACTTATTTTATTGTTAAACACGATTTCTTATTACCCGAATACATCCTAAAATTCTAAAGATTCATAGAACTTTGAAAGATCGCCACTAACCTACTCTTCATTCCTAATGTTGCCAGTTTCTTCTCAAAGCTGCTACTCTTGTCACATAAACCTGCTCCTACCTACAGTGCATCAATAGCGTCATTTGCTAATCTTACGCCGAAAGATCCCGAATTAGCCAACAGTTTTTTTTTTTCTTTCTTGGTAAAATTAGTTGATTGGTCTTTTAATTTAATTTTATTTGGTTCTTTAAATTTTTTTATTTTATTATAATTCTCTAACTTTATTCTTTGTCTTTATTCATGTCAAATGGGTCATTTTTTTTATCAATTACATTAACGTGTTACTGTTCATCTATCTTCTTCATCCTCCTCCTTTTCTTCGTCTTTTACTATCCTCTTTCTCCCTGTTGATGTATCCATGTGTGGTGAAAGAGTGGTTATGTTGTGTGTGTATCGTGCAGTGATTGAGGGTGGAAGGAGAGTGCAAGTGTGGTGTGATGTTGCACAAATGCTTGGACTAATACTAAAAATATGAGAGCACAAGTACAAGATGATGAGAGAAATATTTACGTGTGCTGTTTTTGGAGAGAAGGCAAAGAAAATAGAGGAGGAGAGAGAGGAAAAAAAGGAAGAGGAAAAGAGAGGGAAAAAATAAGGACCGGAAACAGCAAATGAACAGTTCTATTGACAAAAATAGGAAAAAAAAAACGTCAAAAGGAGCAACATAGTTAAAAGAAAAAGATTAATTTAAAATTGAATGATCAAAATAAAACAAACAAATAAAATTGAAGAACTAAACTTAAAAATAAAATTGACTACTTTCTTTTGTTTTTGTTAGATTACGGGAATGCCTTGTTTAACCTATCAACCCCGGTGAATTGACTACTTTTTGGCGAATTTACCTACATTTTCTATGCCATGTCAATAGTTAAATTGGGAAAAAAGACATATAGGGAATTTTCACAATAGTATATATATAGGGAATAAAATAAATAAAGACAATATAGTAGAGACATGAAAAAAAAATGGAAAAAGAGAAAATTCGCATTATATGCTCTAATGATTCTCACATTATCTACACAGCTTATTCGTCAGCCATGGCCAACTCCAAGGCATAGTCATCTCTTTCCTGTAAACAATTTTCGTGTTAAAGTCACATAATCAAAGGCAAAATAAACAATCTCGTTCCAAATAAAATAATAGTTGCAAAGGAACGTACCACTGGTCCTCGGGCAAAATAGCGTCCAAATTGAAGCCAATATACCTGTATGTGCCAAGGATTTATTATATTCACAACCAACATCCAGTAACAAATGATTATAACGACACTGATGACAATTTGGTTTAATCTCGAAAGCACTTTATAAAAGCAAATTTAAAGAACTTATCAACAAGATTATCTAAAGGAGACCCCTGTAAATTGATGACATACAAAATACTAATCCCAAAAATTCTATGGTTATACGATTAATTAGGTCAAGTACTATTGTACTGTGAATACAAGTCCAGGCCTACTACTACAATAACACTACTAAAACTACATAAGGAAACAATCGAGAAATTGCTTCCTCAGTTTGATAACAAATTGATTTTATCACTTCACAATATATTTTAAAGATTATTTAGTTTGAGTTTGGACAAGATAATTTAAAATTTTAAGAAATTTAAATTTTTATTATTTTAAAATATTTTATTTGGATAGAATAATTGAATTTCCTTCATTTCAAATATGATTGTTTGAATAGAGTAATTAAATTACTTACATTCTTTAGAAAAAAAATCACTCACTTTAAATATATCAACCAAACACAGGTATTCTAAAATATCCAAAGATACAGTAAAATATTATGGAATATTTTGTGAATATTCCAATAATATCCCTCAAGGTGAAGTTTACCCATCCATACATAACATAATGATTTTCTCCAAATATCCTCACTTGCTACTCCAAACGACTATAAGGGCACGTACAGTCCTCTCACTAACTTCCTTCTTTCTTCTTACGCTCCACTTCCAGCTTAGCACCTTTAGCAATTCTGTCTTTATTCTTCCTTGTGTAAACCCTCCACACCTTGGGCCCATGGCACAACTGTTGAGCCCATTCTTCCCCTTGACCTTGTGACCCATTTCAGATCCTATTATTGGCCCTGTCTTAATCTACAGCCTTGTCCTCAAGGCTGAAATTTGAAAATTGGCTCTTAATTGTTAGTTCATCCTCCCATGTAGTTTCATCAATTTATTTTCCTTTCCCCTGAATGAGTAGTTGAATCATGTTTTCTCCACCTATAACTACTGCTCGAGTAGCTAAAACAGCAACTGGTTCCAACATGTCAAAGTATTCTCCATCTAGCCTCGGAGGCAATTCTTGCTCAGCCTTATAATTGCCAATGGCCTTCTTTAACAGTGACACATGAAAGACTGGATATACTTATGATGTGTCGGTTGCAACTTGTAAGCAACTACTCCTACACGTTCTAGAACTTCAAAAGTGCCATAATAACAGGCTGCCAACTTGGTGTTGAAGTAACAAAATTCTGCCTGTGGGGGTCTAATTTCTAAAACACTCAATTCTCCTATCTCAAAACTTCTCTCTTTCCTCTTTTGATCAGCCTAATTTTTCATCCTTCCTTGGTCCCTATGAAGATGAAACTTCAACTGTCCGAGGGCTTCATTACGATCAATCAATTCAAGTTGCACACATTCAACTCTGGTTTCACCTAGAGGGAAACAGATGAGCATGGGAAGTTGCCTTCCATACACAAACTTGAAACGGAGTAACCGCGGTCGTTTCGTGAAAGGTAATATTGTACCAATATTCAGTCCAATGCAGCTATTGTACCCAATTTTTGGGTTGATCTGCAATAAAGCAATGGAGATAAGTTTATAAACATTGATTTACCACCTCAGCTTGACCATCCGGATGATAAGATAAACTCATTTTCAGTTGTATTCCCCATAGCTTGAGAAGTTCTTTCCAAAAGTTATTGATAAAAACAGGGTCACGATCACTCACAATTGCTTAGGAAATCCCATGCAACCTTACCACTTCTTTTGCAAGGATTTCTGTCACCAACCTTGTTGTGTAAGGATGTTTAAGGGGAATAAATGAGCATACTTGGACAATCTATCCACTACCACAAAAGTAGCATCAAACCCCTTTGATTTGTGTATCCCAGTCCCACTGATAAAATCCATTGATACCTCATCCCATACTCTAGAATGTTTAATGGTTGTAGCAGCCCAGTGCAGTAGCCATATATTTTTGCCATTGACAGATGTCATACCCCCTAACATATTCCTGGATTACTTTATTCATGCCAAACCAATAGAGATTAGCTACCAACCTTCTATAGGTCTTGTAGAAACCTGAATGTCTCCCTTGAGGAGTAGCATGGAAATCCTAAAATAGTTTAGGAATCCACTCTGACTGAGCAGAAATCAACAATTTACCTTTATCGAACAAAACTCCATCTTTATAGGTAAACCTAGGTTTTGCATTGCTGAAATAATATTTATTAAAGCATCATCCTTCTGAACTTCTTCAACTAATTGTTTTCCATCAACTCACATAGGATACGATATCAAGAAACATAACTCTCCCTGCTCATACCTTCTAGAGAGTGCATCAATGACTTTATTTGCAAGGTATGGTTTGTAAACATTGTTAAATTGATAACCAAGTAACTTAGCTACCCAATTCTGTTGATTCATAGTAGAAATCCTTTGCTGCAGTAGTTGGCGCAAGCTCTTACGATTAGTATACACCGTGAAATGTCTTCCTAAAAGATAGCAATGGCCATCAATTCTTTTGTATATGCGAATTTAGAAAGGTTCCCCTCACTTATAGCTTTGCTTAAACAACTACCGGCCTGTCATTCTGCATTAAAATTGCGCCTATCCCATGACCTGAAGCATCACACTTAATAATGAAGGGTTGAGAAAATTCTGGAAGAGCTAGGACAGGTGCTGAATTTAATTTTTCTTTCAATAATTCAAAAACCTTTTTGTGCCTTGGGATTCAATTTAAACCCTTCTTCCTTTGTGAGATCAGTTAACAAGTGTGCTATTTTGCCATAGTCTTGAACAAATTTTCTGCAATAGCCTATAAGACCTAAAAATTTCCTTACTCCTTGGGTTCTGGCCATTGAGCCAGACCCTCAATTTTATTAGGATCCATCACCACTCTTTCTTTTGAGACTACTTGTCCAAGATATTCAACAGATGATTGAGCAAAATAGCATTGTTTTTCTGTTTGTCACCAACTTCTTCTGCAAATACCTCAGTCAAACGCTTCAAGTGTGTGTTTCAATCTGGACTATACACCAAAATATCATAAAATAACACCCACACAAACTGCCTCATCATGGTTTTGAAAAATTCTTTCATTAGAGCTTGAAAGGTTTAAGGTGCATTCATCAATCCAAGTGCATAACCATATACTCATAATGCCCTTCATGAGTTTTCTACCACTCTTGTAACATAAATCATTCTGCTTGCAGTCCAAAAGTTTCTGATAAAACAAATGTCTGACGCCCTTGTCCCTTTGGCTTGAGCAAAATTTGTTAATCATTGCATCCAGTTTCAACATTGATCATCCCAACCTCCCTATATTACCTTCCTTGTTGTTGCGACCCATTACCCAATCTGATCCAGCATCTCAGCCCACCTGATTTGGATTGCTTAAGATGTTTGGGCTGGAGCGAGTCAAAGAACCTGAACCAAATCCTGTCTTATATCTCACATTCCTTGCTCCCACTAGATTATGGCTCCGCTTCAGTAACTTGCTCACTACCCTATCAAACTCATCAACTTTGAATGAGTTATAAGGACCCAACGTTTGTAAACTCCTCACCCTTCCTTGGATTTCCTCCTTCAACCCATGGATAAAATACCCAAAATATTGTTCTATCAGGTGATTTTGGTACTTGAGCAATCAAGCACTCAAACTCTTGAATGCATCCATCAACTCCTCTTGTCAAAGCACTGAGAGTTGCTCAAAAGCATCCCCATCTCCAATTTCTCCATATCTTCTCTTGAGCAATTCTTGTTTAAGTTGCTCCCAAGTCAAGTCAGCATTATCCATCAGCAAAGCATTAAAGCAATGGATTGTAGATCCTTCCATACATAGGTGAGCCAAATTCATCCGAACCTCAGGGTTCATCTCCATCACTTGGAAATAAATTTCTGCCCGAAAAATTCATCCAGCAGGGTCATTGCCATCAAACATGGGCAACTCCACTTTCTTAACTGATTGACAAAATTCATCTAATGATTCTCCTTGCAGTCTCTTCCATCAAGAGGAAAATGACGATTTCTCCTCCCGTTCATCCTCCTCCTTTTCCAGTTCTCCATTTTTTTCATTACTTCTTCCTTTCCCCTCCTCCTTTTCAAAATGATTCACCTACAAGCTCTTGGTGAGCATCGCAATCAATTGCTCCTGGTTTGCGTCAACTTTGCTCTGCAATGCAGCGATAGATGATTAACTACTTCATTTTCTAGAGCTGCTACAATGGCTTCCATCTTCTTTGGGGGCATTCAAACTCTCCTACTTCACTGACCTCGGTCCTTGTATTTGGCAGGTCGGACCATTTTGATACAAATCAATTCCAAGAATAAAAAAGGAAACATCAAAATGAAAAGAAAAAGTCTGTGTATTATTGAAATATTAAGGAAAGCCAGTAGCAAGAACTACTGCCCAGAGCCAAGCTCCTACAGAGAGCTATTGCTCTCCATCCATACATAACAGAATGATTTTCTCCAGATATCTTTCTTCTTGCTACTCCAAACAACTATAAGGGCACGTACACTCCACTCACTAACTAACTTCTCTCTTTTAACTCTCTCTCACTTCCAGCTCAGCACCTTTAGCGATTCTTCCTTTACTCTTCCTTGTGTAAACCCTTCACACCTTGGGCCCATGGTGCAACTGTTGAGCCTTCTTCCCCTTGACCTTGTGACCCATTTCAGATTCTATCAATAACACAGGCTAGTATTACAAATTGGACATAGATCCTCATTCTCACTCTCCCCTTCAATGCTATAGCCAACATTGGAAAACTAATACCGTACAAGCAAAGAACTTCAGCAAAGATACTGATTTAACATGAGCTTACTAAGAAAAAAGCTAAAAGCTCACTAGAAAGTGAAGCATAGTGAACCAATAGCATGGAGAAGGAACCAAGAACAATGGAAAAAGCCTTGATTGTCATAATTGGTGCACAAACAACAGTAGGAAAGAATCAGAGATCTAGACATCTCTACAGTGGATTCCAGATTTTAGGGAAGTCAACAAGGAAATAACAAAAAAACTAGGTCACAAAGGATGATACTACATTGACACCATGATACAATTATAGTATCTAGGATAATATAGTCACAAAATTAGATTGATATGGTGTATTATGGTGTGATACAAAATACTAAGTCAAAGGCCTTTTCATACTAATAATTAAGTGGAGTAACAGTGAGTACAAGCTCGCATTGATACAATAGCACTACTAACAATAATTAAATAAGGAAATAAGACAGGAAATATAATGAAACCCGGAAATAACTACTAACATTGCTTACTCAATTAGATGACTAATTGATTCCACGATATATTCTAAAGATCATGTAAACAATATTCTAAAATATTGAAAGGTAAAATAAAGACATTATGGGATATCTTGTAGATAGTCTACCAATATAAAAAAATCACCTTAGAGTATGTTTAGGAGATAGTTTTTGGACGGGAGGAGAAGGAAGGACAAATTTTTTTATTTTAAATAAATATATTTAAAATTGATATATTTTTCAAAATAAAAGATAAAAATTGATATATAAACATAATGTATTAATCATGCATTTATCATCATAAATGATATAATTTTCTTAATTTAAAATTAAAAAATATGTCTTCTCCTCACCTCCAAAACTCTTTTCCCAACAACTCCTCAGAGTTGATCTAGTTGGCATCTATTCAAGCAGTTATAATAAAAAGTGTCAATCTATCATTGTAGTCTTGCTCATTACCTCATCTTCATCTTGAGTTTCTACTTCAACATCAGAGGATGGGAAGCCCACACAAAGTAGTGCATAACCCTGAATTGCAATAAAAAAATTTACATACTTGTCCAGCTCAGCAATAAAAAACAATGGAATTTTTCACAATGATGATGATGATTATAATAATTGTTATTATTATTACAATATTTTCCCCACAGTTGCTAACTATTGTTTGCAGAACAGGAACATTTATTGCAAATGGCATCAAACTAACTGCAAGCTGAAAAAACATCTTTGTTCTGTTGTATGTATATAATCTAGTTTATTCATTTGTCCAAAGGCACTGAAATAGAAACACTGACCCAGAAAACAAAATGTAATCTATCGATACAAACAATTGCAGCAGGAATATACTTAGAAAGAGGAGTCAAGTAGCTGTACTTCTTACTTAATCCCTCATTTCATTTTAAATAAGTAAATCCTTTTCAATTGTCATTTTTCTTTTCATTACAAGAATGAACGAAAAAAGTCATACTTCTAATTTTTGGCTTTTCTATAAATTTCAGTGCAAAGGAACATTGGAAAAGGATAAACAGCAGAATACAAATATTTTTGTCTGCATTAATGTAAAGGAAACAACATCAATGCAATGGCCTGTATCTATATGTACAGTAGTTCATTGTTGTTATATTTGATTTTTAATTTAGGGAATCATAATCTCGAGCAATGAAAATAATTAAAGGAAGAAAATAAGTGTTGAATCAGTGCATTGGCACTATGACAGAAAGACAAAACTTTCAATATCCTCCTATTTGCTACCGTAAAATTATAGACAGGATAGACTTCATTTCATACTAATGTGTTTGGAGCCGGTACATGGCATGTAAAATCTTGAACGCTTCATATAGTTCTATACCACCAATTCCTCCTCCTCTCCTCTGCTCTATAGTAACATGCACAAACTAAATTGCTTTATCAAGATTACTGCTAAATATCCTCTTTTACTCTTAAAACTCAAAATAAAAATAGAAAAATAAATTTTGGTTACTTTATACCGTAAGAAAATTGTGCATTAGTACTTAACAAGTCAAAATTTCCAATTCAAGCATAGAATTTAAAAATTCATAAACATAAAATAAAGATAGTTATACAAACCTTCTCTTTCAATTCAGCAGATATCCCAAGTGCCTCTGGCTGTCTAATCTGTCCATTCTTTATACGTACAGCACAGCTAGTACAACAACCTGCAATGTAAGGTTTCAAATAAGTAAACAGTATCAGGAGGCTGGCAATAGCAACACAGACCCAACAGATTTCAACCACGATGATAATAGCAGCAGCAGAAAGAACAAGTATCAACAATGCATTGCCTGATACACAAAGACAAACTTTACTGTATTAAACAATTGCCATATTTTCTTTGCTACCGATAAGTGGGAAAAAAAACTTCATACTAGTTTAAAGTAATCACCTTTTTATCGGTAAGAAATGGAATCTATCATAGAAAAAGGCCATTAGTAATAATATAGATGAGAAAACCAAATATGATAGGTTCATAAAATTCTTCTAATGACTTCAAAAACCTTATGAGGGATCAACATGTGTTAATGGATCTTGGAGTATCTAAATGGAACCAGTGAAAATGGGAGAGTATATTATCTCCAAAGGGTATGGTAAAAATGTGAAATTTGGCTCATAACATCCCTATTTGATAGTCATATGGCAATCTGTCAGAGTTTAAAAATAATCAACATGAGGGAACCCCATAAAAAATAAGTATCTACTATCCCAATTCTATCTAGTGGATAAATGGTGAAATCTAACACTAACATAACATAGTAATGAATGTGTGTGCAAGTGTGAATTTGCTTCAGTAAGAAAATAATCGAAAATTATAAATAAATAGGATAACAGCAAGTACCATGCCTGCAAGCGAATGGAAGGGTAATATTCTGGGACTCAGCAGTATGCAATATATACTGGTCCTGCATTTTGTAAATAACAGTCACATTCACATATAAATTTTCAAAATACTTTTTTTTAGTAAAAAACAATAATAAGGACCATTAATTTCTTTTCCTTTTGAATCACAGTAACATGCAATAGTAAGTAAAATGAAGAAAAGGGTATAAGATAAAGTGCTAATAGCATGCAGTTGCAACAGGAAAGGGAACAGAAAAGGGTTATCACAATTCACATCGATGAAAATCGTGGGAAGGGAAGGGAAGGATAATACCTCGGGTACGAGGAACTCGTGAACGACACCTCGTTGTCTGTCGTGGACCGTGACCTTGTGGGTTGGAACATTAACAGACGGAGACTGGTAACCAGTTCCCCCCGTCCGAACCACAGGCGTTTGGAGCTCCGCCGTCGCAGAAGTCGTTTTGCGGCGGCTATTGGAAGGGAAAGATTGCTTCTTGAGTGGAATGCAGCATGTACCTGGAATTCGAAGAAGGGGAAGTGCCATCTTCTTTAAGCGCTGACACAACACACAGACAAAGTGACGGGATAACGAGAACGAGGTAAGGAACTATACTCGCGCTCTCCACCAACCGTTAGATTCTCTTCCAACCACTTCTAACACGTGTACGGCCATAAAAACTCGCACAAGGACATTCGTTAACAATTTTTAAAAAATATACGTGATAAAAAAATACAAATTAATAAAAATAACAAGCCTTATCTAAAAATACTCTAGAAATATAATTTAAAAGACTTGCTCTGCAGACTGCAAATAGTAATATTTTTTTGGAAAAAATTATTTAAAATTTAAAGGTGATACGGTAACGGATAAGTTCACAATGGTTATGCGATACGTGGCGGGTAGTGGTGGGAATAGGGGTGCATGTTGAACAAGTGGTGCGGTGCCATGCGGCTGGAGCCCTTAGGGGTTTGTTTTCCTTTCCCTTATAAATCGACAATCACTGTTGAATCTATGTCCAATTTGTATGAACGTTCGTTGATAGAGAGACAAACAGAGAAATGCAATCCTCAAAAGAGAAGCTGAGAAACGTGGCCGCCGCTGCCAAGGAGCACGTTGACATTTATAAAGCCAAAATAGATGAAAAGGTCTGATTTTCATCACCTTTTCTATTTCTATGCAATATACGTAGTGCTATTAAAATCATTTTATCTTCTCACCTATGGTATCTAAATGATTGCAATGAATGTTTGGTAATTGGCAGGCAGAGAAAGCAACGGCAAGAACAGAGGAGGAGAAAGCGATAGCCCATGAGCGTGCAAAGGCAAAGGAAGCTAAAGCAAAGATGGAGCTGCATGAAGCTAAAGCCAGGCATGCAGCGGAGAAGCTAAGCACGAAGCAATCACATTATCATGGTCTCCAGGAGCACGTCGCTCTCCCAGCTGGAGCTCAACAGCCACCCTTGGTAGGAACCCAGACTCAGTACCAGCAAGGGCGCCACCCAGTCGGTGCAGTTCCCACGCCCAGAGCCACTTTTCCATCTAATCCATTAGGAGGAAACCCTCCCACCATCAACAAGCATATATAATAGATCTCTGTTTCACCATAGCTTTATCCTTCCCCCCCCTCCCCCTCCTTTTTTGGGCATCTGGGAGTTTCTCTGGTAGACACGAAATTACAAGGGGTCTGTTATTAATGAGTCCGTCGATGTATTTGAGAATGGCTTGCATCTTTTGCTTTCTGCAATTACATTTCTATCTACAAAAAGGTGTGCAAGATAGCGATAGATAGAAATTTAAGAGAGAAAAGTGTGTGGTTTAGTGTGCATTGTATAAAATAGTCGTATTAATAATATAATTTTTCTATCAATGTTCCCATCTGGTATTAGTTCAATGATCTTCAGATTTGCAGATGGTATGGGGGAGGTGCTATCATCCATTTCTCTACATATGTATAGGGAAGACCAACTAGCAAAGAACAGACTATCCAATTACTAATTAGTTAGCAGAATCATAAGGAATCATCAGTAAAGCCTCGTTTGGTTACAGGGCCCTACCAAATATCCACAACTAACCACAATTTAAGATTAATGAGAGGAAGATAAATGCTACCAAAATTCTCTCTTAACTAAAATATACTCTATTTATTGAAAGAAAATACACTCTTTCTACCTCAATCTTAATTGCTAAAATTTGTTAAAAACGAACAGTAAATTTAATTCAATTATTAGCTAAACTTATTAAAATTCTATTTTCAACTATTAGCTAAAATTAATATAAAAAAAAAACATTAAATTAGGAATGACTGATGTGTATAGGAATGAGAAATACTTATCGCATTCCTCTCATGAGGAATGCCTTGTGTATTTCAGCTAACTTTGCGTGAGTTATTGAACTGAACCGAAAATATATTGAACTGTACTGAATATATTTTAATTTTTTCATAAATTATAATTCCTGCATATGAAATACTAAGCTGAATTGGACTGGAAAAGGGTTCAGACTAAAAACAAACTCAAAATGGGAATTTGAAAAAAGGAAAAAATAATTTTATATATATATATATATATATATATACACAGAACTTAAGGAAACTCATTGTCCTCGTATTTGCTTCGCTTCTTCAGTCAGTGAAAATCAAGTTCTTGTCATGCTAATATGTAATCACGTGTTTGTATTTGTACGAGGATTGCGAGACCTACCTGGACAGTGCAACCGTTAGCATGACTTTTCATTGTTCAGAAAATCATAAAAGTAAATTCCAACATTAAATAATTCAATGAATCATCGCTCAATAAACATTATCATTAGAATATGCGTATAAGAAAATATCAGAACAAAATACTAAGTGTATAGGACAGATAATCAATTTCAGCCTATCAGGTTCCAGAAACATGCTGGCCTTTAATTCGCAACAAAAAATATTAAATCGGCTTTTCACTTAAAGAAAGAATCATATTGACAGCACGCTATATGATGAACAATGCTTGAACTTTTCATTTTGTTAATAAGAAACTTATGTGCAATAATTGGATGATTAGCTTGAACTGCGCCATTTATTATTTGGGATTGCTTCCATCTTCACCAGGCAATTCCAATGTGTCTAGCACCTAATCTCGTAGGATCCTGCTTTTGTAATGTAACGAACCCACTCAACGGTATTGTACCCGCTCTTCTCCCATACCTGCAGAGGGTAAATAAATAAGATAGAACCACGTAGTGATCGGAAAATGAATGGGAAGAGTTTGGGTTCAGTGGATCGGGATGGCTACCTTAAGAAAACGGACACGTAAACCGGACGCTGTGAACATTGGAACCTGCATCAACAAATATAGAACAAGTACGTGTAAGTGAAAGTTTGGACTTTGGAAAGGCAGCTCCACAGGTAAATATGATAAATTTATTCAGAAGATTTGCCCGCAGAAGATGATCAATAAATAACAAATTGAACCATGGGAAAAGGGAACTTAAACAAAAATTAATCCCCCAAACAAAGATTACAATCGAGTGTTTAATTGCCATAATTTGATCCAAGAGGTCAGTGAAAACAGACTTTTTTGTTTATGAATCAGAAAGACACCTTTTCCTTCAACTAACGCAGAACAGATAAGTTCCTTGTAACAACTTTGAAAATATTTAGTAAAGATGAACCATGACAAGAGATGTCAAAGTTCCCAAGATAAATTTTAAACGCAACAGTTAAAATTAAAACAAGTTGAGTGAAACAACCACAGATGATTAGCCCCAAGTTCAGAGGGCTCGGACCAAAGGTAAGTTATGCTCCAACTCCTATTGTATCCACTTTTCATTCTAAGTAGCAATAATTATATGTAAGCTGTTTCTATCTGTAACACTGACAATTTCAAATGAACTACAATTTTAGAGTTTCAAACATCAGGCTACTCGGGGATTTAGCACCGATGCTAAAAACATAAAACACCGGGAAGATAGTAGCATGATGCCAGAAAGAATACTTCTAGGCAATAAGGAACTGCCAGCCTATTTTCATAAATTAGTTAACTAAACCAAAACAACACACCTGAAATTCCATCTGAATTGGTGGTCTGGTCCAAGGTTTCTTTTCTGTGATTGTGGAAATAAGTTCAACTTCTGCATTCAAGGTTGCCTCAGTTTGCCCAGGGAATTTTCTAATCCTAGAAAAATTAAGAAAAGCACAATAGATATGATAATATTAGAATGACTAGTTTACTAAAAATGGAAAGGGGGCAGGGGAAGTGCAAAAATTGATTCATATATACACAGCTTTTTAAAACAAAACAACATATTCAGTGATACCTCATAAGAAAGTTCAAAGTAATTGAATTTTTTTATGTTAAAGTAAGATATCATTGTTCAAATAATAATCACAATTTAGTGAGGCACTAACTTCCAAACCAAACAATCAATAGATGCATTGTATTTTGCTCGGCCTGATGTAACTGTGAAACTTGTTTTTGCTGTTTGTTTTGGCACAGGAATTTTGACTACAACCCCAAGTGCAAACATTTTTGCACCAAAAACACTCTTTACCTGAAAATATGTATCCAAAAAATAAATAAATAAACAAGAGGAGGATGGAAGATCTCTAAAACAATATATGCAATAGCAAAATTTCAAACCTTAACGTTCACTTCCAATCGTGATCGACCTAGTTCCTTGCCAGTTGTCAACACTTTGAAGGGAAGATTAACTCCCTCAGTGATTCGATACCTAGCCCCAGATGCAATTAGTAAATAATAGAGACAAGAACCAATGGCAATTCAAGCACGACGATGAACCCACCCACTCTATATAGCTTGTTATTTTGAAATACCCTATAATGGTCAGTCAAGATGAGTTCAGAGGAGAAAGAGGAAATTACAAACAATTGATCATCAATCTCCCCACCCACCAAAGCATTAAGGAGGATATTTGGTGCATATTTATGGAAATAAATACCAAGAAATATGATTAAAAGAAAAGAGCTTACTTCATTAGTTCAAATTCACCATCAGGCGGTACAAAACTAACAGTCTTCTCTGAGTTGAACCTTGTCAAGTTTACACATTGATGGAAAGTAACATCATCAAGCTCGATAGTTTTACCACTGTAACATAAATGTAGTTAAGCAGGGAAAAAATATTATCAGAATGGAAAAAGAAAAAGCCCTCCAAGTACAGAATATAGAACGAGGACTAAAATGTAAACGAGAAAACAAAACATCTTTGTTTAAAACAAATAATTTTCAATGCTAAAATTACAGCGAACATATAGTCACAACTTTAAAATTGACTATAAAAAACATTAGAAGTAAAAGAGGGGGAAACAAGTGCAACTGAAAGCTACCTTTTAATAGGACGGTTTTTAAGTTGTGATTCTTTCTCAAGACCAATCTTGTCATTCAAACCCAACTTTAAATCAGGCATTCCAGAAAGAAAGCATTTCATCAGAATCTTCCCAGTGACATCACAACGCAGAACACTACCTAAATTCACAAATTAGTTACCGGGCAGGCAAGCTAACAAACAGTGAAATTAAATTCCCAACCCACCTTTTGAAGACATAAGAAGATTCACGCTTTCCACAATATCAAGGAAGACCTGGAACAGGTCAACGTTATAACAGTATGGGCTGTATGGTACTATTGTAATAGTAGTAAACAATAGATGTGGTGCTGATGCAGCATAAAACTTGCCTCATTCTTTTTGTAGACAAGACCTTCTCTCCGCCAACCAACAGCACCAGTGACTTGTAAGGTTGCATTTGGAATAGGTCTATCTATGGGCTTTATTCAATGCACACAAAATATAATGAAGTACAGGATTTAATGAAAAAGCCAACACAATGGAGTAAAGATATTAAGGCAAGTAAAATCTAAAAATAAAATTATGCAGACAGACAGACATTGCACAACACACACACAGAATAGTAATTAAACATGCGAATAAGCTTTGAGACAGAAGTTAGAAGTTTATGTCAGCATTTTTTTTTTTCTTAATATATGAACCAAGTTTACAACTTATTGCTGAGAAGAGGTGTAGGAAAGGTGGAGAAGGAAAAAACAGATCCAAGCAATAAGGGATCAATTAAGTAATATAGAAACCTGATCATAGGTATCACTCGTGCCAACCTTGAGTTACATCAGCCCAAAACATTGGACAGAGCAATTTTTTCTCCAATCATAGGTTGATTAGTTTATTAACCTAAGCAAGAGATGGAAATTTAGCCAGAGAGCTAAGGGCCCTGTTTGTGTTTGGGAGAATGAAAAGAGGTGGTGCATTTCCATCTTTTCAACTTTAACATGAAGGGAGGAGCACAGAAGTTTTGGAAAAAAGAAATGAACTGATGTGATTATAGATGAACCATTTAAACCAATAGTGAACTAAATAAAAGAATGAAAATGCATATGTTTTTTAAATGGAATTCTTCATGGACCTTATGATTGGTATAATTTTAACCTTCCCATCTTTAATGGTGTACACTGTACACAATAGAACTTAGTATGGGCATATATGGCAAATGTTTTACCTTATTATTTTCATACATTCACACAACACCTATGCAGTATTATCTTCTTCTTTATATTTTGTCTTGCTAATATCTCCATGTTGTTTACTATCATATCTTTGTCTGTGTCCTTACTTCATGATAGCTACAAGAAACAATAGCATTTGCAAACTAACCTTGGATGAAAATGGGGAACGCACTCCTTCCTGAGTGATATAAAGCTTTAAGATCTCTGGTGAGAGATTTTGGGGGTAACCAAAGTCCATAATTTCTACAAAAAAAAGGTAGGTAATAATAATTTCCACATTGAAATTAGAATTATCATTTCTATGTCACAGAATTTAATTTGGTTTTCGGTACTAAACAAACCTTGACTAGGCAAAATATAATTTTTATTCTTTAGATAATATAAAATAGATTCACAATGCACCTAAAAGTTATCAAGCAAGAGCATTATTGCAGTTGCACATACAACATCACAATCAAAACCAACTTCCATTACAGTTCACAAGCAAAACCCTAGTTTATTGTTTATTTTTAACACAGTAACTTCCACTAAAATCATGACAGTCATTGTAGTCAGCTGTTGGTACCAATATAATGAATTGAGATCTTGTCAAAAGTCATCAAGAAAGGAACACATTGTATTCCTTCTTTTGTGTGCTTGAACTTTTTGTCAGTTGCCACCACCATAACCAAATAAATGTAGGATTCTCAATACACTTCCCGCCTAAAAGCCTGGTCATGCTAGTTGTCTATACAATTTATTTTGTATTTACATGAAATGAAAATCACATTATCATTAAAATATATTCTTATTACGAAGATGCACAATCATGCTCAAGTATATCTCTCTTCAGAATAGGTACCAAATTTCACACACATTACTCCTCAGTTAAGGAAACCTACGCCGATATATGAACGTAAGTAAAGTATACTCTTATAATTTCTAGCAGTTTTAAAACTACAGGAAACTAAAACCTTAGCACTTCTCCAAAATAACCATACAATAGACAAAATATCAAAGGAAGAACATGGAAAGAATTTAGTTGATTCTTTTTATGAATTACATACCATCTAGAAGTTCGTAAATGAGAACAAAATTATTGCGAATTGCATCTTCATCAAAAGCTCCACCAAAATATGATTTGAACAGTGCAACAGCCTGCAAGGAAAAATACAAAAACAAGCATCAACCACCATATACATCATGTGTTTCAATCATGACTGGTAGTGAAAATTTTCAGAGAAACTGTTAAACAAAACAACTTTAAATGGTGTTTGTGAAAAATCCCTTTTTTTTGGAGTCCAATGTTGCTGATTGATCCACGAAGCCAACCTCATCTAGAGGGAAATGGCTAGACCGCTGTTTGTTGTTGCTTGTTGGCAGACTAAACTTTCAAGTGACTCTCTTTAGACATTTGACAGGACTTTTAATTTCCATCAAACTACACTGACTACCAATTACAAGATTACATCTCCAAGATTTATTAGTAAGTCAATTGGCCCACTAAACACATAGCATTACTAAAACGAACCCAAAAGTCTACAACTATTAATTAACATAAATCACTTTACAGCTCAGCACAAACTTCCCATTTACTGGAACAATTTATATTTAATGAGTGAAAAGTGTACCAGGAACTTATCGTTGCTCCTCCACCAAATTCATGGTAGATTTCAAGTCTCTTCTCAATACTCAACACCTCATAATTTGGACTAACTTTGAGATTTAGAAAATTCCTCTTCACTTAAAACCATTTAACAGAAGCTAACAACTGTCAAAACAGAAATAATTTAACCTAGAAATTGATGCGAGCCATCATCTTAGATAGTTTCACTAGCAGCAATTAAACCTGAGATAAAGGTGAATGACAAATAGAGGTGGCAGTACCTCAACAACAAACTTGAAAGCACAAGCTACATTGGCGTTGCTGCTGACAACAATGACAATGTAGACATTGCTGATCTTCATGTAAAAGAAAGAGCATCCACCAATCTGCCTCACAGGACACGTACCAAGCTCCTTCGTTTGCATAATATGAGTCCGAAATGCATCCACCATATTTCCCCTGTAGAACAACGAATTAGAATGCATAATAACCCTAGCCACATCACTTATTTGAAATTCGAAACAACGACATCGCTACACACAAGGTATGATCAAAACGCGCGTAACTGTTTTCAAGTTGAAGAACCTATGCATGTCCGAATGCTTCCAGGAGCAATGAAAATGTGAATGAGAGAGAAAGAAAAGTGGAAGAAATATTACCCAACATCGTCGCGATAGAGGCGGTTGATGAGAACGTCTCCACGGAGGTTGAGGAAGTAAATGGCGGAAGCAGCCACCGGCATCTCCGGTCCACTTTATCAGAAATTCTATCGGAGATAATCTTTTACGTTGGTTTCGTTGCCGATTCGTGGTTTCGATTTTCGAGACGGAGCAGCAAAGAACGGGAAGGCGTCGTCGTTGATTTGTTGGATTGGATTCGGACACACGAGAAGAGAGCGCGTGAATTTGCCAATTCAGAATTGAATTGCTGACTGGAAATGAAAATTTTAAGAAAAACAACACTAGCGACGACACGGTGGAAATTTTTCTCCTTTTTATGATACCGAAAAATATTCAAGGGGGATTGTTTTTATTAAAAATATATATGAAATAGAAGTGCAAGAGAATAAATTTTTGTTTATTTAAATATTTTGTCTTATATGAATAAAAAATAGTATATCATGTACAGTTTAATATTTAATTTTATCACCGAAAATCAAGGAGAAATTAATCAATTCGGAGTTGTTGATGTTTATTCCAATTTATTTTGTATATTTTATTTATTTTATAAATAATTAATTTCATAAATTAAGTTGTAATTAAATTATTAATAAAATATAAATTATTTTTTCTTTAAAACTCAATCATTTTTTTTGTGTTATAGTTTTCTTAAATACAAAAACATAATGAAAATTATAAATTCATGAAAAATAAAAATATTTTGACAATAAATATATATTATATAATTAAGAGATCCTTCTCTATGCATTTTTTATTTTATCTTTTTCTCCAACTATTATTATTACTATTATTATAATATCATATATACTCTTTTTGGTTATTATTATTATTTTTTGATTTTTTATTCAAATTAAAATATTAATTATGTTTTGATGTTTAGAAAAATGGAGTACAACTAAAAAAATCAATGAATAATTAAGATTTAAGGTAAATAAATGGTTGTATTTTGTTATAATTAATTTTATTTTATTTTATTTTATAGAAGGAACTATTTGTAAAACATTGATTAAAGATTAATTTAAATAAATTAAAATTTAATATATTTATTTGCAAAACTAATAAATTTAAAGGTCAATTAAATGAAAATTAAAGTTTAAGATGAGTAGTTAAAAAATAAAGATTAAAAATTAATTAAGATAAAATTAAGGTTAAATTATATATTCATAGAAAGAAAAGGAACTACAAACAAAATGGTTATAAAATTAATATACCATAATTTCAATTGTGTAAAGAGTGTTTAAGATTTAGAGTTTAGAGTAAAATATAATAGAAATATTGTTAACTAGCTTTTAAAAGTTATAGATTACTTTTAGATTATTACAAGCTCATTTTCTTTTATATTTATCAAATAACTCTACAAATTTATCAACCAAAGCTACAAGCTATATTTACTAAATATAATTAATATCTTTGAAAAACATCTTTTTTATATATAAAAAAATTAAATATTTATTATATTTGAGATGTGAAATTACATTATTATTGAAAATTTTAAAAGATTAACTTTATTATATGAATGAATTCATAAAATCTCTATAATGATATAAGTAATTATTATTATATTGACTCAAAATCATATTAATAGGTTTTTTTTTTTTTGCTAGTTTTTCTATCAATTAGATTTTAAAAAATCTAAATATATTTAGCATTTTTTTGTCCAATTATATCAAATAAAAAAAATTAGATATGTCTCTATATTTTTTTAATGTTATAAAAAGTATTTATTATATGTGAATTTTTCTTAGTATTTTATTAAGTATAATTATTACTTTTTGATTAATTCATGTAATTACCTAATCAATAGTTTTTATTAATAAGTATAAGTGATTTAAACCATAAATAATATTTGACTTAAATATGATTTTTTAGAATTTTTAAAATTCATGACTCTTTTATTTAGTGGCCTATTTTTTTTTTAATAAGTTCATAAAAAAATTAAAATTTCTTATTAAAATACATATTTATCTCTATAATTAACACTTGTTTACAAATTAATTCCTACACTTAAGAAAACTTGAGTTTTAGTTTTTATATGAATATTTTGTTACATTTTAGTTTATATTAATTGTCGTTATAATATCGTTAACACGATTAACAGCAAGAACCAAAAAGTAAAAAATAAGTAACAAAACTTAACATATTACCCACATATAAGGACTATAACATAACTTTTCTAAATATAGGAATTATTCATAAATGAGTATCAACTATTGAAACTAAATATATAATTTAAATTTAAATTAAAGTTTAAGATATCTATTTATAAAGAGAATAAAATTTTGAGCAGTTAAATATTTATTATTTTTAAAAATATTTTAAAATAATAATGATATTTTTATTCTCTTTTTCTTTCATCTAAGTAAGAGAAACAAAAGAAAATATGTTTCTCTCTTTTGTTTTTATCTATCAAAATCAAACATCTTTTCCATCTTATTTATTTATTAGTTTAAATGATTGTTTAGTCATTATTTAAAATATTTTTTGTAATTTAGTTCTAGATAAGTAAAAAGATGTATAATTTTTATATGATTTTTTTTTCAATTTTGTCTATGTTGTTATAATAAATTTTAATCATGTGAAATTTTCTATAGAGTGTTATCGGTGATCCAACATACTGTGAAAGTGTTAAATATTAAGTTATCACTAATAGAAATACAACCCAACTGCCACAACAATATGATTGCAATAGAACTCTAAATCTAATTTGGTTCTATTAGGACTCCATGAGATAGTGAGGTAGTTAAGGTTATTGCCCCTAGTAGCAAAATTTTATACGTGAGAAGGAATGGAAAGAAGAAAAATGATGTAGGTAGGATGTGTAAATTGAGTGATAACAATAAGAAATAAGACTTTCTGCCCTCAATAATGTTTCAATTAGTAGCAACATACTTGACCTATGATTGATTATTTTAATTTTTGCAAAGTTATCTCATAATTTATATTATTGTTAGACATAACTATTTTCTAATATTTTCTTTACTAACTTGTTTGCCCAATATGTTTTTGTTAAAAAAAAGTCTTAGGACAATAGTCTTCCTTCATTTGCTTATTACTCTTACCAAATACATTTTCTTGTTATTACTCGTTGGGTTGACCAATTTGTTTAGAATCCACGTAAAATTTGTCAATTTTTTTCTTACATGTTCTGATACAAGTATGCTTATCATTCAAAATTTTTAATTAATTAAAAGCGATCGACCTATGATTTTTACTTTGTAAAACAAATTTGGTTTTGAAATCAATCTCAATCCAATTTGTGAATTCAATTTAAAAAATGCATCTTTAATTCAAATTTCTTAAATGATCGTTGAACATGCATCTTCAATTGATTCGATACGATTCTTTTCAATTCAATCTCGAAAATTTGAACTACACAAGTGAACGTTTCCAGATTGCATGAGTAATGAATTCGACACATGCAAATTATCCATAATCATATTGACGCTATCCTAGACCAAATTAAAAGTATTTGTGATAAATTTGAGAAAGTGAGAAATAAGATTTTGAATTGGATTGAAATATAAAACGTTAACTCATTGCTTTGTGGGATCAAATTCGTAGATCGATCTATGAAATTACTCCTTAGTCACGATTATGAATATAAAAACAGGTTTAAGAGTAATTATCATGAAAAAACTAAAATAAATTGCAAGAAAGAAGAGATAAGAAAGTACTCAAATTAACTCAAAGTCAAAAAATAACAAAAATGTAAAAAGGAAGAAAGTGATAAGTTCATATTTTGATGTGTTTTACAACTTATGTTTATGTAATTGGAGCTTATTTTGTGGATGTTTCTCACAAGTTTTATTATTAATTTTCACACTTAAAGCATAAGAGAACTATCGGCACATTATGGGAATATTTTGAGCAAAAATTGGATAATTTTAACTAGTCCTACACTTAAACACAATTGTACTTTGCACTTGACATGAGCATGCTTAGTTGTTTGGCACGATTGTGCTAGATCAGGATGCATAGTCATGTTGAATAGATCTGCATTCAAATGTTTAAATTCAAATTTTAAACCTTGCAGAAATTTTAATTGTGGAAAAAACCAATTTAAAAAGATCAAACTCATCCGCTAAAGATCAAGTGACGATCGAAGAACTCAGTGCACACCTTATATAAAGAGGCCTTGTGCTCTTAACAAAGGACACCTTCTACACACCATCTTCTTCCCTTAAGCTCTGACTTAATCAACCATTGAGAGTTACTAGAGATCATTGACAAAGACAACAAGCATTCCTTTGGAGTCCAAGCGAGTGATTGAGTGGTCCTTAGAGAACAAGAGCTATTTTCATCCTTCTTCCTTTAGGGCCTTTTTAGTTTGAATTTTTCTTTGTGTTTATGTATTTTTTTTATCATAATTTTCATTATTTATTTTGTTATGTGTAGCTAAATCCATAGCTAGGGCTATGACGGATCATATTACATACTCTATGTGATTTTTATGTTTAATAACAATGTTGGTTTCTTTTTAATATTTAGTTTTTATCTTATCGAATTAAATATGTTAAGAACTAATTACCCTTAATATTTCATAATTAATTGCATTGAAGGTGGCTATATCACATGTAATTAATGAAACTATAGGATAAACAGGATAAAGAGTTAGACGGATCAAACTTAATTATTCTCGTTGAACCGTTATTAAATTAACAAACTTGTATGCTTTTTATGTTTTCTCTACCTTTTGTCTTGCATGATTATTGGGGATAATTGTTTAAGAAAAAAAATATTAACATTGCATGATCATTAGGTGTTAATAGAATAAGTTTGGGTGGTTGATAAATATAAAAGAAACTAATATTGGAAATAAACCAAAAAAACATAGAAAGGCATAATAGTTGAACTCATATGCCCTATGTTCTTCTCATCCAATTACTTTCAAAAACTTATTTTGTGTCCTTTCAATTACTTTTTGAATTTAAACTTCTTTTGATTTTAATTCATTATGCCCCCTATCAGTTTAAATAATTAATTAATGTGTTCTTGATACTTGAAAATAATTTTTGTAGAATGATAACTTGGGAATTTAATTTTAAACCCTTTATTATTTTTTGACGGATACATTTGTCCAAAAACAGAAAGTTGAAAAGAGTTTGTCCTTCAACTCCTCCAACTTCCTCTCTTTATATAAAGGCTAACCATAAACTAAATTTAAGCTAAAAATTTTAAAAAGTAAAATGGGCTACAAAGCCTATATATATCCAAATCCTAGTAACAAACTATTAATGGACACTTAATTCATGTAACAGTAGCAGGGCCAACTTCAAATGTCTTTAACTCAAAACTCTAAATTCAGTGAATGATGTGTCAAATTGAAACTCTTTGAGTTAGCTTTTCAACATAACAAGAATGATTAAAAACTCCACCTGTATCACGAGTTATGACTAAAATAGTGAGTAGAGGTCAAAAATACTAAAATACAAAAATTAGGTATAATTACTAATTAAGACTTAAATAGGCACAAACCAAAAAAGTTAGCCTAAAATGGTGAAGTAATAATAAAAATGGTATCAAGAGATGGTAATTATATATACTAAAGTGTCAATATAATATGATTCATCAATAACTTAAAAATTTTCTCAAAAAATTAAGAAAAGAACAGATATATTATTAAGAATCTATCATTTTATTCCAGATACAAACATATTAATATGAAATATTAATTTATATAAAATTTGATAAGCAATGAAAATTTGTTTTTATTGAAGATTTCAGAAAATAATAACCTAGCTAATATATTGACAATAACGGTTATAACTAATAAATTGAAACTTTGTATTCTCTCAACTAACATAATAGATTGAAACTTTGTATTCTCTCAACTAACATAATAGGTATTGTACTAAGTGAAGCATAGATAATATCATTGTTTATAAGAAATTATTGTAATTAAGACTTCAAGAAAGAGAATTGTTAACTAATTTTTAACTAATTTATTTAAATAAATTGTGTCTTCAAATTTTTAACTAATTTGTTTAAGATTGGCTATGCATGCCATGTCAAGAGAACAAAATAGAATTCAAAGTTAACAAAATTTCATCAGAATGTTTGTTTCTGCTATATTAAAAGTCAACAAAAACAATAATATATTAAGTAAAGAGAATACCGTCAGCTTCTGGATACTAGGTGGTGACCCAATTGGGAAGTTCTACATCTAACCAAAAATATGGTAAGCGCAAAATGCGATGGGCGTTCAATTTTTGGGCAAATTAAGCACTAAAATAACAAATCGTAATTTTAGCGTGACAAATTAAACGGACAGCAAGCGCATCCATCCCGTTTATAAACCCCTTAATCCTCCCCATAGTTTCCCCGTGGCTGTACAGTTCATAAAATCAACCCGAGAAGAAATAAATAAAGCATTCACGAATCAAAGAAAAAGGAAAAATGGAAGGCGTTGCAAAGCTCTTCTGGGTGTTCGCGATCTGCATGTTGGTAATGGCACAGCTGATAACAGCCGCAGAAGAAAGCAGAGGAAAGGAGCTTATTAATAAGGTATGCGAAAAATCCGAAATAAAGGACCTTTGCATTGAAGTCCTTTCATCGGACCCTGTTAGAAGCCCAAACGCAAACCTTAAAGACTTGGCAATCGTATCTCTTAAAGTCGCTGCCAATAACGCTTCTAGCATTCTCTCCGACGCTAAAATGCTCATCGACGATGACAACTTGGACCCAGATGTTCAACAAGGCTTGGCTGATTGCAAGGAAAACATCTTGGACGCTGGGAGTCAACTCGAAGACAGCATTGCTGCATTGTTGGTGGGATCCCATGCTGATGCTAAGGTTTGGCTCAAAGCTGCTTTGGCTGCTATAACTACCTGCGACGATTCCATCCCAGGAGATGATGATATTCTTTCCGTTAAGAGTCATGTCTTCCGCAAATTGTGCAACATTGCCGTCGAAATCAACAGCTTAATGGCAAAGTCCTCCTAAATTATAATGTAACTGCTTTCTCCTTCGTTTTCATCACGTGTCTCAGTCTTTTCTGATTTCACGTTATTGTAAGTGCTGTCCCTGTTTTTTTTTATTACTATTGTGTATTTTGTTTCGTGCAAAAGGAGGGCTCGCGATATAAGAGAGTGCTCAACAAAAACAAACAACCCAAATTATTCTGTTGGTGTAAGATTTGGGTCCATGTGCAAGTGCCTTGCTCTTTGTTTATAGTGAATCCTACTTTTGAATTTTTGTTTTTTGTGGAAAGTTTCCATTGGCAAAAGTCAATCTGGATAACCTCTCTCTATCATTTAATTTCTTCATTTTTTTTTCAACTTGTGGGAAATCCTGTTCGATCTGAACACACCTCCAATGTTGGGAATCATAATAAAATACTGAACACTTGCTTGCAGAGTGCAAAAAATTTTCCTGTTTTAAAAATTATTTAGAAGTCATTTTAGATCTCGTATAAAAATTGTTAATCGGGACAAAAGTTAATTTTGTTGAATGAATGGAGTGAAAATTTTCTGTTTTTAGAAATTTCTTTTTTTACTTTTCTTAAAACAACCTTTTTTCATCATTTAAAAATATTCATTATTTTTATGAAATAAATAAATTTAAATACAAATTATTAGTTTTAATTACTTATAGTCAAATATACGATTGAAGTCAATATTTTTATATTTATTTTTTATTCTTTTATTTGTTTATTCATAGTAATTCATTTATCTCCTATATAATTAATTAGAAAGCAATTCTAATATATTTTGATAATCAGGATCTTTAAACATGTTTTTCTTCCCTGTTAATAGATTGATCCTGTATTAAGAATTTTGTTTTTCACTTTTTAATATAAATATATTTTTATTATATTTTATGTGTATATTTTTTTTTATTATTTAGCGTTTTATATTTTTGAAAGTTTTAAATTATTAACTGTTACTATACTTTTTATTTAAAATGAATTTTTAACCTTTTCAGATTAGGCTACTTATATGACGTAGTTAAAAATTTTAAGTTGAAGAGCACAAGAAATACATTTTTAATATACTTTTTAATACGTTCATAATTACTTAATGGTTAAAATTTTATTAAATATTATGAAAATATGATAGAGAATTATTAAAGTAAGAGAGGTCGTTATTTAAATTAGAATTAAGAATCACAAAACTTTTAATATTTTTAATAATTTTAAATTTATAATTAAAAATATGTTTAAAAAAGTGTATTATTAATTTTTTTTAAGTTTTGTTTTCAAACTAGGGCAAATACTAACGTGTTCTTAGACAATCATTTAAAAATATAATAAATACATATTTTTATTCTTTTTAATTTTTTAACTAATATTTTAAAAATACTAATTAACAAGATGTCAAACTATTTTTTTTTTTTGGGTACTTATGTCATTGAATATAAGATTTAGATAATATTTGTTTTTATTTTGAAAAATAGTTTTCTTTTTTTAAAAATAAAAAATACACTTATTTTTAATTTTTCAAAACAAATATGCTCTTAATATTAACATTTTAGTACAAAAATATAAATCAAGTTAAGCTCATGTAAAAAATCAAGAAGTTAAATTTTTAAGTTAAAGTTGATTTTCAAGCTAGCCTGAATCATACTTAGTGAATTATATTTCATTCGATAAAATTGATTGAAATAAATTTATAGCTTATAACTTATACTTAAAAAGGTAAATAAAATGTATATCTTATAATTAAAAATTTATAATCTTTGAAGTAGCTATTTTATAAAATGAGTTAAAATATATTAAATGATTAAAATAATATGTAATATTTTATTAATATAATATTAAAATAAAATTAAAAGAAATATTTAATTTTCAGTTTTAATCTGTTACGACCCTCTTTTTGTAAAGGATCAGTGAAAAAGAATAAGAGCTTAAAAGAAAAAAAAAAGAGGAATAGAAAAAAATCACTTTTATTAACAATCAATGTAAAATGAGAAAGAAGAGAATAGAGAAAAAAAATAAAAGAACATACGAAAAGAAGTTGTATTAATAATCAACATTAGAAAAAAGTTAAAAGGAGAAGAGAATACAAAAAATTAAGAGAATGTAAGAAGAGAAAGAAAGATGAATAGAGGAAAGAGAGATCAAAGAAGAGAGAGAAAGAAAGAATTGAGGAAGAAAGTATTGAAGGAAGAACAAGAATTATGAAGATGAGAAACTACAGAGTCGAGAAGAAAGCACCATACACAAAAGTATATTTGTGAATTATTATATTAGGAATTCAAATTCTTATGGTATAGGTTAAGAATTGAAGGGGACAAAATATAGTTATAATAAAATTTCATAGAATTGGTCAATGGAATTATAATTTTAATTTTAAATGGATATCCAAACATGATAATTAAAATTCTGAAGTACAATATCAACGTCTAATTTCATACTTAATTTCATATGCCAAACGGACACTTTGTGATTTCATTGAAGGAAAGGAAGGACACTATAAATTTTTATAATATATTTTTCTATTTAAAAATTTAATTTGTAAATTAGATTATTTTCAAAAGTATTTAATATAACATTTTTTAATATTTTTTATATTATTTTAAAAAATAAAGAATACTTATTTTAAAAATTAAATGTGATAATATTAATAACATAATTTTTTTTAAAAATAATACGTTTACTTTTATTACACAACATACCATATTATTTAACATATTAATTTTTTTTCACCAGAAATAACTTAATTATATTAGAACTATTTAACTAATCTATTTTAATATTAAAATTAAATTTTAATAAAATAGTCATACTTTTTATTTTTGACTATTTGTTTTATTGAAAAAATTGAAAGTTAGACATAAAATTGACAACTTGTTTTTCAAAAAATTTTATTATAAAGAGATAGTCTTATATTAAAAATAATCTGCATTTTAAAATTTTTTAGTAAGTCATATATAAAAAATGTGACTAACTTTATCTGCATAAAAAAAATTGAAAATTAGCCCGATCTTGTAATTTTAAAATGAAATTACACTATCGTAGTAAAAAAAATTCTTTTTTTAGTATTTAATATATTTTAATTAAAATATTATGATAATTTAAATTTATCACATTATCAATTAATCATAGATTATTATATAATTAAGAATATTAATTTTATGATAACTATCTTAGGTCATATGCATAAAAATATTATTTAATTAACTAATAACAATATTTAGACTAGTAACAATATAAATAAATATTAAATATACATACATATTTATAAATATCTAATTTATTTAATACTAGATATGCATATTAACATAAATATATAATTGTTTTCATATTTATATTAATAAAATTTTTTATTTATACATGAGTTAATACACATACGGTACAGAAAATAGAATTTTTAAATATTAAATTTACACATTTCCAACATACAAATTAATAAAGCACCGATGCCATTTTTATAGAACCTAAAAATGTTCATATGTATATATATTTACAACTGTTATTTCGTAAGGAACTCAAAATAGAAGTTTTTAAATAATAATTATATTACTTGAAAAATGTATCTAAACAGTTTAGACCTATCGTTAAAATTTAGATTAACAAAATAATTTAAAGTTACAATTTTCTCTCAAAAAGTGTTGACTTTGATGTTCCTCAGTCAGATCTTCCAGCTTGAGAAGTAGTTACAGTACCTGTCACTTCTGCTCACGTACTACAATATGATCATCACAAAATACACACATACACGATATAGACAGAATGCAAGGGTAAGCTTACGAAACAAAAATCACAACATAAACAACAGATTATAACATAAATGTTTATACAACTTATCATTTCGTAATTTTTCAGCTCTTAAAGCAGCAATATAACACATTATCAACTTATTTAATGCAAACTACAACAACTCAGTCCTAATTAGGGTCACAACCTTAATAACCCAGCATGAACCTACAATTTTTGGGTCTAAGAGCGACCCGACCCGGTACCTGTATCCAGATAAAATACAACTCAACTCAGCACGTTACCCCAATTTTTACATGCCTATGACCTCAACTCAACATGTTAACTAATTGTTACATTCCTATGACCCCAAAATATGCGACTCGACCTCAATACGATACCATTTCCTATAAATGTCAATAGTAAGCATTTCAACATATTATTTTATAATGAGTAATTAGCTAATTTAAGCACTTTATACTACAACATTTCAACAAATATCTCAAACATAAACAATTTTATACCAATCACAAGATAATAGAAAATCTCGTCACATACATCAGTTTAATGCAATCATTAACAACAATCAAGTCACCAAGCCATGCTTACTCGAGATTCTTCTCTAGGTTTTGTTCATACATAGGTTTACTTTCAACTAGGACCAAGTTGTACATATAGGTATCCTAATACCTAGCGCATGGATAAAGTGATGACAACCACAAATTGTGTCGCTGAATTAAACGATCTTGAATTGAATTTCACACAATAAAAATAAAATTATTAGGGTACAAATAGGAATTGAAATAAGAAGAAAATTAATAAAAAGTGAAAATAGAATAGAGATGAAAAATGGTGCCACAATTACAAGATTGATAAGCAAAGGAATGATCGCCACAAGAGTTTTGGCCTCTTGATAAGATCAAAGAAAATTGGTTCACTCAAGAACCTAAAGTCACACTCTCTCACAAGAGTGCTCAATATCAAATTGTATTCAAAATTAATTAAAAGTGTGTTTATAAGAGCTTATATAAACCTAACGCTTATAAACCAATACTAACACAAGCCCTAATGGACCTCTTGTACTAACAAGCCTAAATTCAAATAAAGTAAATAAAATAACAAGATTTTATCCTAAATAAAAACTCAAAATAAGTAATGACTAATATTAAAATAAATAAACTCAATATAATAATTAAATCTTAATGAAACTCATTAGAGTCCAAATTCTCAAAGCATATGTAATAGACCATATTGAGCTTTTCTAACTCCAAATTAAGTTCTCTTTCAATTAGAACGGCAACAATCT